GCTCTAGATAACTTGCTCCAGACTAATGAACCTCTCCAATTCGCCATGGATAGTTACCCAGGACAAATTTTGGTTTCCAAACTGTTGGGGGTTAGGTGTCCTTTTTTTTGTTGTTGTTCTGGCTTGCCCATGGAATTCTTACCCGTTAGTTGCGGGGGACAACCTAACTGTGGGTACTTAGTGGGTGCTCGACAGAGGACAAAGAGTGGCCGGGCCCAGGGGGGGAAGGGGGCAGGAAAAAGGAGGGTGGGGACAGTTTGGCTGGCTTTCTTCAGCTTCGGGGAAAGATATTTTTTGGGCGCGGAGCTGCTGCGGTAGAGAGAAGGGAATTTCGCCATCACCCAGACGGAGATGCTGCTTCTTCTCCTTCTTCCCTCTTTGTTGGTGGCCTCACACCCCCTGTCTTGCCGGGATGTGTGGCAGTGCCAGGCACCGCCGTGGAGCTGCTGATGCACCTCATCCACCAGCCCAGGATCTCTGATCATCCCTGCTGTTCCAGCTGACTGTTCCTCAGAGCCCTGCAGGAGCACCGGGACTGACTGCCCGAGGAGGTTTGTGAAAACAAAGCCTCTCCTTCATCCTGTCTCAGCCGAAAAGGCTGTCACAGGGTCCCTGGTTCTGTTTTCTTGTTAATGCTGTCGTTATTGTTTGTTTGCCTGGTTATACTAGTAAAGAACTGTTATTCCTATTCCCAGATCTCTGCCTAAAAACCCCTTGATTTCAAAATTATAATAATTCGGAGGGAAGGGGTCTACATTCTTTCATTCCAAGGGAGGCACCTGCCCTCCCTAGCAGACACCTGTCTTCTAAAACTGAGACACAAACCAAGACATAAGCTTTTTAATTCGGCCTTCCATTTAGTACCAAAAATAATGCAAAGTTGAACTCCTCTAAGGGCCCTAATGGTTTTTACTGACAGCTCAGGTGGATCCCACAAGTCTGCAATGACTTGGAAGAATCCTCTGACAAAAGAGTGGGAGGAGGATGTTCAAATAGTGGAGGGATCTCCACAGATTGCCAAATTGGTAGAAGATGTTAGAGCCTTTGAAAAGTTTAAAGAACCTTTCAATCTGGTAACTGATTAGGCCTATGTCGCTAGAGTATCTAGCAGGGCGGAACATTCATTACTTAAGGAGGTGTCCAACCCAAATTTATATCGCTTGCTCTCGAAATTGACCTACCTCCTATCCCACCGAGAGCAACCATATCATATAATACATGTGAGGTCTCACACTGACCTCCCTGGGTTTATTACAGAAGGCAACCGTAGGGCAGATGCTCTAGCCATGACAGTACAGCAGGCCAATTTGCCCGACGTTTTTGCACAAGCAAAGTTGAGCCACAGCTTTTACCACCAAAATGTGCCCGCTCTGGTCCGCGTGTTCCGCCTTTTGCGGGATCAAGGAAGAGCCATTGTGGCAACCTGCCCAAATTGTCAGTCATATCAGATTCCCTCAATGGGCTCAGGGGTAAACCCCAGAGGACTCCATAGTTGCCAGTTGTGGCAAACTGATGTCACGCATGTAACTAGTTTCAGACGTTCAAAGTATGTACATGTATCCATTGATACTTTCTCAGGAACCATGTTTGCTTCAGCCCATGCAGAAGAAAAAAACAAAGATGCCATCAAACATTTCCTTCTGGCATTTGCCACACTAGGTGTCCCAGAAAAAATAAAAACTGATAATGGCCTGGCTTACACATCCCACCAGATGAGAGAGTTTCTCAGCCAGTGGGGGATGAAACACGGGACAGGCATACCACCTCCCCCACGAGACAGTCAATTGTGGAGAGGGCACACTGTGCCCTCAAGCAGGTCCTAGATCAACAACAGGGAGGGACAGAGACCAGTTCCCCGATTGAAAGACTCTGCAAGGCTCTTTACACCATAAACTTTTTAAACAATTCATTCCCCCTCCCCCGTATTCCGGTACTTTTCAAATTCGGCTAGAGCTAAGCTCGAAGAAAAGCCACTGGTGATGATTAAGAATCCAGAAAGCAAACAAATAATGGACCTGTTCCCTTTGATCACCTGCGGGATGGGGTACGCCTGTGTTTCAACACCATCCAGACACAAGTGGCTCCCAGGGAAAAATGTTAAACCTTGGACTGCCCCAGCGAATATAGAACCTGAGAATGCTACTCATGATGCTGCTGAGTCAACAGAAGGTCCTGAAAACGAGCCTGCAGACGTTTGGAGACAACGTCAACACAGGCCTCCAGGAATGCCTCCAAGTAGCCGACCTGTCACCAGAAGCCAAAGCCAAGCACAAGACACCGGATAAGTCAAGCCCTTTCAAAGGCCCCTTTCAGACGACTACTCCCAATAATCCCCTTTTACCTGCATTCTCCCACACCCTCACTACCCCTTTGGTTAAAGAACTAATGGGGGATGGACGGGGAGAAAGAGAAAAAAGGTAAAGTGGGAATAGTCAAGCCCCAGGTTGTCCACTTAATGTTAATTATCATTTAACATTACAGAACCATCTAAGGAATAAATCTGGGGAGCCAGCCACTTCAAACTGCCACATGTGCCACCCTCCGTCTGCCCCTGCCTGTCAGGCCCCAAATCGTTAAAATCCTAGTTTGCTGGATGCTGTTGGGAATAACAGCGAATGCGTGGATGGTAGCACAGCCCCGAGAGAATGTCTGGGTGACTCTTGCCAAGCCTATCAAGCAAGAGCACCTGTGCTTATCCATGAGCAGTGTGGACAACCCACTGTCCACATGTCTGGTGGGACTCCCACTTGGACCCCATGACTACCCACTCACAAGTAAGGAACCCAACCCTGTAGACACCTGAGACAAATGGACATAGACTCTGCCGCATGCATCAGAGGAGCCCCAGGAACTGGACCTACTGGAGTCCTCCATAGCCACCTACTACATAAATTTTTACTTCAAAGCAAAAGACCCCAAGGAATATCACTGAGGAAAAAGGCCCTTTAGGCCCTCTAGCTTTCGGGAGGCCATCCACCGATTTGATGTTTGCCCCACTGAAAAAAATTATACTGCCTACTGGTGTAATTATACCAGTGCTACACTATCCGCATCCACGAGCTGTCCCAGGGTGCTCCCACGAGGGGTGTTCCTGATCTGTGGAGATAAGGCATGGGCCAGTCTACCATCCCGGCTCCAAAGAGGACCATGTACACTTAGCCAGCTTTCCATCCTCACCCCAAATGTCACGCTGCTCCAAAATTAGCGTAAAAAGATTAATCTGGCCAGCCAAAAAAGAGATGTAATAAAATTTGACAAAAATTGTGACAGTAAATTATGAAGCAGCCTCCCTTTGTCCCCCAAAGTAATCCTGGCTAGCTCTGTCAAGGGGGGAGGTCAGGAAGGCTCTTCACGACCAAGATAAAAGACCAAAGGGCTGCTTATTCTGGCTGGCTTCCAGGAGAGAGAAGATGCCGAAGCTATAATTCCCGGACTCTTTCAAAGCTCGGGAGAGGGGCGGGGAGACATATAACACCAACCAATGGAAGAACATTTCAGTGACAGGGAGGGGAGGGGAAAAACACGTCACAGCTGCAGGGAGGGTTTACACAGAAAGTAAGTAACTCCCAGAAATATGCACTACCACATCTCCACCTATTTTGTAATATATAATTAAATGAATCGTAACAAGCCTATATGACTTACCGACCTGAAGTGGCCCACCAGTTCCCATTTGCGGGCCGGTGACGCTTACTCTGGTCTGCCAACTCTATATGGTTGACGTCTGAGGTAGCTGAGATTAGCTTAATTATGCTTCTGTACAGTATTTTGCTTAATACTCCAAACACTAACATCATTAGCAAAATAATGACTAGCAGCGATAGGATAGTTTTCACTACTGAAGCCCACCACCCCAAGAGTCCCCAGTTTTTAAACAGTCCATTGAACCAGTCATCTGCTTCTTGCTTGACTTGTACGATCATGCTTTTCATCTCTCGGAGCGTAGCATGGATGTTAGGAACTTTCGATGTCAGATTCATGCAGCAGAGACCCTCGAACTCCTGGCACTCGTGCCCGTGGAGCAATAGGAGAAAGTCTATTGCTGCATAGTTTTGGAATGTCGCCTGCCTGGTAACTTCCTCATCTTCAAGGAGGGCAATTATGGCATTAGATGTTAAATTTGCTTGTTTTACCATGCAGCATTCTAGGTGTCCCAATTCACCTAAGGTTTTAGCTGCAACCACCCAAGGAAGGAAAATGGATGCAGCAATCCTTTTTGATTTGGACCAATGGAAAATCTCTGAATCACAACTTTCATCTAATTTTGTAACACTTCTCTTTTGAATTTTTCTGGTCAAATTTTTTTTATGGGTCCATTCCCTAATTAATGTTTGATTGGGTGCTAACAGTGATAGACACCCTATGGTACACGGCCCTCCGAGAAGACGGGATGGAATTCCTGCCCATGCGTGATCCCCACAAATGAGGAACAGTCCTTTGGGGAGGCTTTTGGGATGTGTATGAGCTGAGGAGTGCACTTTGATGTAGCTTAGCACACCACCTTTTTGCTGTGAATTCTTCTTGATCTTGTCCTATATAGTGGAAGGTTTCTTTATGAATTGGAGGGCTGACCCTAAAGTGTACACAGTATGATGCTGGGGAGGAACCCAGTAGCTCTAACTCCTGGGGTTCCTGGGTTGCCTTAGGAAAATGTGGCAGCCACTCTTCGACGGGGTTTCTTAACTCTGCTTCTATTTGAGTGCTTTGTAATTTATTACCTGCTTCAAGAGTCAGTGTATTAAAGCTGTGTGTGAATTCATCATGCGGCAAAGGAATTCCTACCAGGCAGGTAGACATAGGATTTTTCGCTGCTGCAGTAGATAGACATAAGTTTTCTTGCTGGAGTGTTTGTGCCAGGGTCACCCAGATGTTCTGGCATGGCTGTGGGACGATCCAGGCTGCTGTCAGGCTGCTCAGTGCGAGCAACATGACAGCAGGGTTAAGGCCCATCATGGATTTGAGTAAGAGGTAGGTTCTTTCTAAAAAAAAGGAAACAGACATTTTTTAAAACATATTCACAGTTAAAGTATGCAGGTCAGAGGCTAGAAAGGTTTCTTCTTGCTCTCTCCAGTGGCGTCTTCTCTTGGAAGCAACAGCCACTTGCTTCTCTTCTCTTCTTGCTGGTGCTGGATTCTTTGGAACAAAAGGTTTTACCCATTTCTGAGGAATCCATCAGGGGCCTGCAGGGGTGGAGACACACGTGTAACCACGCCCCCAGGTGACAAGTTCATAGGGACCCTTGGTTTGCCAAGTTTCAGGGTCCCTGATTAAAACTGGTGGATGCTGTGACAATTTAAACTGATCACCACTGTTAAAATGCCAAGTCACAGGAGGATTCATGTTTTCAAATGAGCAGTTTAGGAAGTTAATGGTAAACAGAGCTTTACAGAGTTTCTGTTGTAGAGACATCCATACTACCTCACTACCTTACTTGGCTAGGACTTGTTTGAGAGTCTGGTGGGCACGCTCAATCACAGCTTGACCTGTGGGGGAATGGGGGATGCCCATTTTATATTCCACTCCCCACTGCTGTACAAATTCCAGGAACTCCTTGGATTTATACGCTGGGCCATTACCTGTTTTAATTTCTTTAAGGATTCCTAATGCGGAAAAGGCCTGTACTAAGTATTGTTTGGCATGTACAGATTTTTCTCCTGCATGAGCAGAGGCATACACTGCTCCTCAGTATGTATCAATGCTCACATGTACATACTTAAGGCGACCAAGAATGGGGATGTGAGTGATATCTGTTTGCCACACCTCACAGCTTCCAAGGCCTCGGGGATTAACCCCGATGCCTAATGATGGCACTGCCTGGAGCTGGCAATTTGGACAGGTAGCCACAATGGCTTTAGCCTGACCCCGTGTCAGCCGGAACTGACGGATCACTCCTGGCACATTTTGATGGTATTGCTGGTGACTTAACTTTGCCTGTTGGAACACATCTGGGAGACGTTCTTTTTCAGCTGGGGCATCAAGGGAATCAGCCTTCCGGTTCCCCTCAGCAATTTCACCTGGCAACGGGGTATGCGACCTTACATCCATCACATAGAAAGGGTGTTCTCTATCCGAAACCAAGTAAATCAGTTTTGAAAGCAATCTAAAGAGATGCTCATTCTCAATGTCCTTGAGAACTGCCTGCTCTGCTCTGGACACCACTCCTGCTACGTAGGCTGAGTCAGTAACCAAATTAATCAATTCTGAAAATTTCTCAAAGGCTCTCACGACCGCTGTCAGTTCAGCTATCTGAGGTGACCCCTCTACAAACTCAACATCAGCTTCCCAAAGCTGAGTCTGTGGCTTTCTCCAAGTCATCACCGACTTGTGGGATGTCCCAGATACATCAGTGAACACTGTGAGAGCTTTGAGTGGCCTTCGGCTCCTTTTCTCACGAGGAATGAGATGGAATTCCTCATGAAACAATTTGTGTGATGGTGCATGAACTGAAATTTGCCCACTATAGCTGTCCAGAGCTAACTGGAGGTTAGCATTCCTCTGCAGCAGATGCTCAAACATCTCTTTGGTCAGTCTCTCAGGGGAGTTTTTCCCTTCTACAGAGAGCCTGACTGGGAGGTGAATACACAAAGTCACACCCTGCCAGTTCCCGCAGCCTTACCCTGGCCTTTTGAATCAGCTGAGCCATCAGCTCTTGTGGCTTGGTGATAGTTTTAGGTCGTTGATGGGAGAGGAAGACCCATTCTATTATTAAGAGTGGATCTCTCTGCCCCTCAGCCCACTGGAATATTAACCCATGTAGGTGTGGCAATTTCCCCAGGATAATAAATTTGAAAGGTAGCTCAGGTTTGAAGCAATGTGCCTGTCTTTCTGTCAAGGCCTTTTGTGCTTTTTCAATTACAGTTTTTGCTTCTGGAGTCAGCTCCCTGGGAAACAGTAACTCTCTCTCCCCTTTCAATAAATTGAGTAAGGGACTCAAGTCTTCATTTGTGAGACCTAGCCATGGTCTGACCCAGTTTAGTGACCCCCATAGGGAATGAAGATCTGCTAGAGTTTTAGGATTGCAAATAATTTCCAATTTTTGTGGAACAACAGTTCGTGCAGTAATTTCCAGGCCCAGGTGTTTCCAAGGTGGCATCCTTTGAACTTTGTCTTCCTGCAATTGGAATCCAGCAGAGGTTAAAACTTTAACCACTAGGTCAAGGGTGTCTTTCAGTATGTTGTTATTGGGACAGCATACTAAAATATCATCCATGTAATGCAGAATGATGGCATCTCTCTTTTCAGCATGCACTGAGGACAGCAACGATCCCACATACCACTGGCAGATGAAGGGGCTTGCTTTCATCCCCTGAGGTAGTACCGTCAAGTGGTACCGTTTCATTGGAGCTTCTCGGTTAATTGTAGGAATGGAAAAGGCAAACCTTGGTGCATCCTCTGGGTGCAGGGGAATTTGAAAAATACAGTCTTTAATATCCAGTACTGCTACTAGCCAATTTTGTGGTAACATAGTCGGGGATGGCATATCTGGTTGAAGAGACCCCATGTCCTCTATTTATTTTTTTATTTCTCTCAAATCCTGAAGGAGGCGCCATTTATCTTTTCCAGGCTTTTTTATTACAAATATCGGAGAATTCCAAGGGCTGGTTGCTTCTACTATGTGTCCCTTGGCCAATTCTTCTTCCACCAATTTTTCTAGCGCCCCGAGGTTCTGATTGCTGAGAGGCCACTGGTTCACCCAAATTGGATTATTATCTAGACAAGATAGCTTTTGGACCGGATGCTCTACAGTGGCCTCCATCAAAAATACTGAGGTGTCTCAGGAATTGTTAATTTCACTCCCTATTGAGACATGGTGTCTCCTCCCCACAGCAAGCACTTATAATCAACAAAAGGTCGGACATTAGCTAACCTACCCTCCGGGCCTTCAATCTGGATGATGGCTTTAGAGATATTTGCCAGTTTCACCCCTCCAACACCCTGTATTTTTCCTGCCACAGGTTGCAGTTCTCTATGTGAGGGCCACACCTTTTCAAGTATGATAGTCACATCTGCCCCAGTATCAATTAACCCTTTTACATGGAGATGTTTTGATTTATGTGTTAAATTACATCCCATAATGGGTTTGTTTTCACTTACTACTTCTGCCCAGTAGACTCCTGGTGCTTTGTCATCTACTGGGACTTCTGTTGGAACAGGGGTTACCTGGGCTATTACCTGCTCTTTATCTATATAGAAAGGTGGTTAGGCACCTAGCTAAGGGAGTGAGGTGTGCTAGGTCTCCCTTAATTGTCATGGGAGCCACCTCAATCTCTATTGGTGTGTGTGCTGTGTCTCCAATAACAAAATACCTACTATCCAGTCCAGCCAGGTCTTGTGAATTATCCTGCAAGTCTACTCCAACGACAGTCCAACAATCAGATCTGAAACAAAAAGCTTTAGCAGTTACAAGTCTGAATCGCTTTTACGGTTGCCAGACCTTATTAGGCAAATGTTTTTCACAATTATATTTCTGCAGTTTTTCACCCCCCTCCCCCCTTTTTATTAAAGGACAGAAATTGGTCCCCGCTTCATTTATGTCTGCGCGCCGGGCAGGTAAGCACTGAGACCCAAGCTTTTTGGCAAGCTGGTATCAGTGTGTTTCCATTGTTTTAAAGGACAGTTTTTAGCAAAATGTCCCGGTTTTCTGCAGTGAAAACAAATTTGCTGTTGCTGGTCAGACGTCATCTGTTCACTCCTTGTTTCAGATGAAACTGCAGCAACAGGTCTTTGGGTGGTCCAAGGAAGTCTCTTTTCCTGTGAAAACATCTCTGCTTTCCTCGCACAGGCTTCTGCCATCTGTGCGAGTGTCGGAGGGGTGTCCATTGGCAAGCATAGAGTGACGCTACGGCAAGACTTATTAGCATTTCTCTGAGCAATTTCTTTGATTAATTCTGCCTGTACAACAGGGTCTTCTACCTGACGGGAGACTTGTTCTCTTAATCGGTCTAAGAATTGCAGAAATCCTTCCGAAGGCATTTGTTTTACATTAATATAACTGCCCTTAGTCTCAGCTGTTGGTAACTGGGTAAAAGCTTTCTCTGCAGCTGTAGTGATTTTATCAAGCATGACTTCTAGTAAAGCCATAGTTTGGTCCTCAGGTTTTTCCCATACTCCTTCTCCACATAAATGCTCAAAAGTAATAACATTATTTAATAAATCTACATTTTGGTGATTGGTTTTTAATAATTCCACCAGTAGGTTTTTTAGAAACCGTTTCCATGTGTTTTCCCATAAATCAAATTCAGATGGTGTAAGCAAATACCTGAAAAGATCTTTAATATCTGTGGGAACTAAATCATTTGAGGTTAATGTTGTTTTAATAATGCTTTTAAATATTTCACTATTACGGCCGAATTCTCTTTGAACTTTGCAAATTTCTTTTTTGTCTTGGTAGGAGAAGGGCTTGTAATGCCGGTTCTGTGGTCTTGTTCCAGTCAAAGTTACTGGAGCAACAGTAGGGAAAAAAGCTGAGTCCAAATTTCCACGTTCCCCCATTCCCAGGAGTTGTATTGAACCGGCAGGCGAGAGGCTTGTCCTGCCTGGGAACTGGGAAGGCTAGCTGCATTTGTTCTGGTTTAGGGCAAATTTGGGAGAAAACTTCCAGTGGGGCTCCCCCTCGGGAAGCAAACTCACGTGGCCTTTTTCTCTCCTACTCCCTAACCGGTTCGGGATGAGATTTCTCTGAGAGAAGTGGAAAAAACCTGTTCATTTCACAGGCACAGCACTACCCAGCACAAAAATGAATGATATCAAATTACAAAACCTCTCGCCCTTCAGAAGAGATAACAAACTTCAGAGGGTTTCTTTCTTGGGGGTGTTCGCTCTGTTATCAGTCCTTCTGGTGCTGGAAAATGCTGCTGCCCAGGCTGGGCTCCCGGTAGTCCACGGGTGCAAGCTCCCGGTGCTCCCTTGAGTCCCCAGTTCAGAGCAGGTTCGATTCGTTTCAGAAGAAGGGAAAGAAAACAGTCTAGGAAGACCTCTCTGCTCCGGCTAGTTGGAAAGCTAAGGTGATCTGTGTTTTGTTGTCTATCTGTGCTGTAGTCAAAACTCCCGATGCAGGGGGAGCAAGTACAGTCTGATAACAGACTTGGTGCTTCTTTTCCACTCACTTTTACTCTCAGATGGAATTTTAAGAATACAGAACCTGTGTCTGGGTTAGGTGGACGAATGGGGATACAATTTAACATCATAATCAACCCAGGACACTAGCATTTCCCCATCCCCCAGGGGCGCCGTGTGGCTCTACAGTGGGAGCAGGCTGAGGGTACCCACCCTCCCATCCCCTGGGGTGTCCCCCGGGGCCATGAGGGCAGATCGAAGCAGCACAACCACACCTGCCTTTGGAATGTGATGAGGCAACCTCACCTCCCTGCTCACTTCTGGGCCCGCCCCCCGGACCGTGGGAACTGGGAGGGGCTCCGCCCCTCACCCCCATCCCGGCCCTGCCC